TAAATTTTATAAATATTTATTGGAGGTAGAATTAGAGCAAGAGATAGTGAAAGGGAACATGATAATGTGGAGTAGGAATATTGGAAGAAGCATTACATTAACAGAATGGGAAAAGATCTGGAATAGAATCATTAAGATTACGAAATCTGCGGCGTACAAAGAAAATATGTATAAAATGTTATATAGATGGCACTTACCCCCTTCGAGGTTAGCGAAAATGAACCTAAACTCTAGTCCAAAATGTTGGAAATGTAAAAACATAGAGGGAACCTACTTTCATATGTGGTGGACCTGTAAAGAAGCCCAGAAATACTGGCAAAAAATTAGAAAATGGCTGGAGGAGATAACCAAAGATCAAATTGAATACAAACCAGAGTTCTTCCTACTAGGGATCTCTGATAAACATTTTCCTAAAAAGACGAAATACATAATAATTCATATTCTAACTGCGGCCAGATTAGCATTTGCCCAGTGCTGGAAATCATCCCGTTTACCTACAGATCAATTGGTCATTCAGAAAATATGTGACTGCGCAGAAATGGACAATTTAACCATAGCTCTTAAAAATAAAGAGTCTTCAGCATTTGATAATAATTGGAATGCATGGTATAATTGGTTATATCAGAGATAAACTGTTTAATGAGCATAAATAAGCATAAATATCCATAAATAGCGATAAGATGTGTATATTTAAAGTAAGGTAGGAGAATTGGATCTTGTAGACTGTCAAAAAGAATATTTATCTGGTTTTAACGTATTTTCTTTTTTCTTCCGTCTCTTTTTTTTTTGTTTTTTGTTTTTCTCTCTTTTATACTTCTTCTTCTCCTTTTTCGGTCGCAAGACCGAGCGTTTTTTTTTTTTCCTCTCTCTTTCTCTTCTTTCTTTCTTCTTTTTCTCTCTCTGTTTCTTATGTAATGTTGTTATGTTATTTTTTTAATTGTAAATTCAATAAAATTTATATGAAAGAAAGTGAACCACATTCCTATGTAACAGGACATAAATGCCAGCCGTGCACACTTGGAGATTTGCAAACCCAAGGCTGCCTCAGCAAATGTTAGCAGCCAGCATCCTGCACCATAGCACTAATGGATAGCCATAGGCCACAAGACATCCAGAGTTCTCTTTGCTCTCATGATGGGCCTGATTTTGAAAGGTTTCTAAATTCTGACCTGAATATCTGGAACCAACAGTTGTAAGTTTAGTATGATGTAGTTTGCTTTCTTCCCTCAGGAAAGTCTTCTGAGAATGCCTCTGTAGAATTTGTCTTCAGTGAATCAGATATGGAAGGACTTCAAGGATTGGGCCTTGTATTATCTGAGAAGTTCCAAGGCAAGGTGGCAGTATTTTATTTTATTTTATTTATTTATTTTGTCAAAAGCTTACAATACAATAGAAATAAGAATAAACATAGTTTAAATGTAAGAAATGGGAACTAATAATTGGGGACAATAGGACAGGGATGATAGGCACGATTGTGTGCTTATGCCTGCCCCTTACAGACCTCTTAGGAATGGGGTGAGGTCAATAGAGGTTAATTTGAGGGTAAAGGAGTGGGGGTTTGAGCAGGTAACAACAGAATCAGGTAGTGAGTTCCAGACATTGACTACTGTTGCCAAAATCGTATTTCCTGCAATCAAGTTTGGAGTGGTTTACATTAAGTTTATATCTCTTCTGTGCTTGTGTTGTTGTGGTTAAAGCTGAAATATTCATTAACTGGTAAGACGTTGTAACATATGATTTTATGTACTATGCTTAAGTCCAATCTTAGCCGGCATAGTTTAAGGTTGTCTAAGCCTAGAATCTCAAGTCTGGTGGTGTAGGGTATTCTGTTGTGAACAGAGAGGAATGTAGTACTCTTCTGAAAAAATACTTCTGGATTGTATTTTCCATTGTATGCTCCATTGAAGACATCCAGTCTGTCCTCCTGTACATCCCCCCCCCCCCCGACCCTTTGGTATAGTTTAAATTAAAGAGTTCTGCCATAATTGTCTTTTGGGCATTTAAAAAAAAAACAGTTGTAGAAAATACCCAAAACTTTGTTTTATAAACAATTTTAACCAGAATAAATGAACGAGTTCATGAATAACAATCAGATGCAGTTTTGATTATATAACATGCTTTGTTTTTCTCATTCTTTTTGTGCAACAACCATGCAAAGATTTCAATGCTATTTCCATTTTTAATGAACATCCCTTCTAAACTTTCAATGGATGGAATTTATTCTTCCCATATAAACGGTTGAATTAGCCAGTCTTCTGCCAGTCGCTAGGCCCACTCGCCAGGAAGCAAAAACCATGCTCCAAAACATCATTTTCCATTTCTTAGTTCCAGTCAAAACTGCTCTCCTGCAGTTTACAGCTCTGCATGAATTCTTTAAGCTGTCTGAGATTATTTTATTTTTCCTCCAACTGCTCAAGTTCTTTTTCACTTCTCTGCCTGCTCTTTCCCTGCATTTTTTTTTAGTTTGTTTGAAAACTCATCTGTTCTACTTCCAAACTCTTCTGCCAGTCAGTTTTCTTAAAATTATGTTTTCATTATGTCTATCTTTTTTCTCTCTGGCAGGGAATGCAGTGGTGGTCCTTTCCTAGCATCCAAATCATGTCAAGAAATATAAGTTCTAAAGTAATGTCAAGAAATCTTAGGATCCAAAGGATGAAAAATGGAGCAGTCTGGCAAATTTGAAAGTATACAACTGGATGACAGCCATTCCTCCTGAAACCATGGCAACCGCACTGACATGTGTTATGTACAGAACTGCTCGCTAGTGACATATATACACATGCAAACAAATGGAAGAAACTGAAATATTGATCAGGATTGTGTGTTCCATTGATGAACTGCTATATCAAAAGAGCTGCAACCGCCAGCTCACATTCCCAGGGAAGTTATTAAATGCCTGGGTCTTTTTCACCCTCACTCCCCAATTGTGTCTGGTAAAAGCTAACAATGGAAACAAAATATTAAGGCATAATTCTGCACAATTGTTTTGTGTGAAAGAATCTGATTATAGCCTTCCAGTGAATGTAGTTAATGAAGTGCCTGTCATCTCTGACTTCTTGGCCATTTAGAATTAGGTCTTGATTTTTCCGCATAGAGCAGTGATTATTTCCACATAAAGGGTTTTTTTTTGGGGGGGGGGGGGGGCAGGCTTCCAAGCAAGTTACGAAACATGTCCCGCTAAATTATATGCTAAATTAACGCGGTAATGTTATTGCACAAAATAGCTTTCCGTAAGAATTGTGTATGCATGTACAGATAGTCCTGGACTTACGACTAGAATGGACCCCAGAATTTCTGTTACTGAGACAGTTCTTAAGTGAGTTTTGCCCCGTTTCATGAACTTTCTTGACACAGTTGTTAAGTGAATCTGGCTTCCCCATTGACTTTGCTTATCAAGTCGCAAAAAGTAATCACATGACCCTGGGGCATGGCAACTGTCGTAAATGTGAACCAGTTGCCAAGTGTCGGAATTTGGATTGTGTGACCGTGGGGAATGCTTCAAGGGTCGTTAAGTGTGAAAATGGTCATAAATCACTTTTTTTTAGTGTCGTTGTAATTTTGAACAGTCACTAAATGAATGGTTGTAAGCCAAGGACTACCTATACACATATGATGAGGCAACCTGGCATAATTTCCCAGTTCCATGCCACTTCCAAGTTTGTTCTGGCTTGGAGTGAGAGAGAATGGGATTTTCATCTCTCCTATTAAGTTTAGTGGAACAGGAATTAATTATTTGCAAAAACAGACTGCCTCCCTTGTTAGACTTAGACTTAGACTAGAGTAGAGTAGAGTAGCGTAGAGTAGAGTAGAACAATAACTTTATTGCCACTTTAAATATACATTAATCAGCATACATTAAAATGAAATTTGGTTGCATACTGGACTCAAAGGGTCACCATCTTCAATACTCACTACATAAACATGATAATAAATAAATACAAAATTATGCATATATTCACATATATTATGTGACACAGAGAAACAAACAGAGTCTAGTTCGGGTGTATACTTGTACACGGTGAGAAAAACTAATCTTGTGATGGATGATATAGGAACAAAGCTGTTACAGAATTGGGTAGTCCTACTAGAAATACTTTAAAACCACCTCCTAGAGGGGGAGGAGCATAAATTATTTCGAATAATATTGAGCTGAATAAAATAATAGTTAGAATAATATTAAGCTGCAATGAGGTCATATATATGATCTGGCCAAGTTTAAGGCTCCATTTTTCTTCAGAGATATGATCTCAATATCACACAGAAAATAGCTCAGGCAAAATCTATTTTATTCACACCTTTATGTCAAAAGTACAGTTAACAGAAAAAAAATAGAGGTTAACATACTGTACTTCTTTGCAAGATTCTTGGGGTCAGCAAGTAACAGAACTTACCAAAATGGACGTTTATACACATTAGCCCATAAGGCTGATGTCCATCTTGTAAATTTATAAAACATTTAGTCAGCATTCAACAATTGCCCAACTTCTGAACAATTGGTTCTATATATTTACATATTTATTAGATTTCTATAGTCACCCATCTCTATCCCAATTGATTGTCTTTCAACTGAAGGGCTATTTTATATGAATTCTATCATTTTTCAAGTATAGATCACACTGCTGCTGCTGCTGCTGCTATAATGACAATAATGACACTGGCTTTTTGAATTGTTTGACTTTATATAGTTCTTGGTTTTAAATTTGGGATGTAATTACTACTTTTAACCTCTTTAAATAGATATGCCAGCCTCCTCAGTATCTTTGCAGTTTTGTCACTAGGAAATCATGCTAATGAATCCTCATTTTATGAGAATTTTTCTTCCAAACATGTATTAGTATGTTTGGGTTGACTTTATAAGACATGATATATAAATGTACTCATCCTTTTAGTGAAATAAAATAATCGGATTTTGTATGGTGATAAATGATCTATCCAACAGATTAACTTCTTTTCAATTGGATTTTTAATAGATACAACTAAATAGATACAACTAAATTCCAGGCTATTGTGTAATTATGCAGTGAGGAAAAGTTAAATATTTTTATAAGTATTTTGTTACAATTAGTTTTTGTTGTTAATTGGCTTAATAGAATATATACTGTTATTATTTGCATGTCTCTTGCTAAATTCATTTAATGGTTAATCTTCTCCAATCCTGTTATTCAGATCTAAAAAAACTCCAAGCCACTTTTAATATGTGTCTGTAATACCAATGGTCATATTAATATATGTATGAGAATTCAGGTACAATGTGCCACATTCAGATCCCGCTGATATCAAATTCAGTCTTGTGTCCTCTTGATGATAGTTTTCATTTTCATACAGTGGCTAAATAAATGTCAGCAATCATGAAGAGATGTTAAAACAGTTAAGCTGGATCTATAGAAACTTATAGATGAAATTTCTGTGTTTTGAATTTGCTACAGGTGAGCATGAATTGGCTTTCATTTGGCCTTATAATTTGTCTTGTGACACACAAACATAATTAAAATGAATAGACCACATTGAGGCTTCATTTTGTCAAAATTATTCCCCATGCAATATCAAGAACCTTACAAATACTTTTAACCCCTTATTTATGTTATCCCTTATTTAAATTATTATAATTCAAATACAGCAAAAAAATCTGCAGGTCATTGACGTCCAGATCTTGACATCCAGCAGAACTTGTTCATTGTCTGTTTCAAAAATTTAAGTGGCACATCCAACATCCAAGTTCAGAAATAAAGTCAAATATGCAGCTAAAAACATATTCAGTGCTATTTTTGCATACAAGATGATTTTAACAAAAATATAGAATACATATTTTTAAACAAGCCAATAGATAGTTAATAAACAAAAAATATTTATATAGAAAAATTGTCCTTCTACAAGCTATCATACACGTTTATTAAACCCTGTAATGCTTCTGGATTTTCCTCCCAGCTGCACTATTTATTTATTAAATTTTTATGCCATTTTCTCTGTAAGGTGATTATAGGCAACTAAGCATTCTTCCAGATGTAATGGTAGCAACTAGCCATTATTCCAGCTGAGATTTCACAAATTTATTAAGACTGTTGCACAATGCCCATAGATATTCTTGTCTGAGTTAAACTATTTTCCATTTAAGTCACATTGATTAATAATCATCTGTTTTAAACCATGTGTCTCCTTTGATTAATTGTCATCTGGATTACTATAGTTTATTGCACTGACACAAACACCTTTAACATTATAGTATTGAAGATTCTCCATCTAATGACCTGTTTTAGTGTAAGACTAAATACTGGCAGCTTGGAAAATACCAAAATTAAGTAGTAGCATATACTGACTAACCACAGTAGATAGACATTTGGGAAAGGCCATCTGGATAAATCTAAGTTCAAGCAATCAGAACAAGATTTGACCTTAGTAATAAACCAAGGTCTTTGGTTAGGCCTTTAGGGGATCTCAAAGCTGTGCATGTGGATATACGAGAAAAAAAAACCTTTATGATTTATTAGTTAGTGACAGCTTCTACTGTGAAGCATGCAATCAGGAGGAGTTTTCTGACAAATACATTTTATTAAAGGGCATAAACTCTCATGAATTGTAGCTCACTTCATCAAATGCACAGAGAAGCTAAACTGATGCAGGATTTAAATTGGGGTGAGGCCAGAGGAGGGAAGAGAGGGGAAGATAGGTTAAGTATGCAGATAGAGGATATGTGTAAGACAGATTACAAACTCCCTATTAACAAATGTAAAACATAATTCAACTTGCCAAACCTATACCTTTTAATAAATTTTATTAAATGGAAAATGTAGTACCAAAACCCTTCTGATTTTTGGATTATCATAGCTCTTCTCCCATACTGTGAAGTATGACAGGGTTGTTCCTTTTCCTTTACACAAGTGTTGTACTACAACTCCTATCATGACCAGCTTCCAAGGTTAGCCAAACTGAGGTTTACAACAAATCTAGATTCTAAAATCTACATTGGAGGCATTGCATATCTCTATCATATCTGCTGCCTGGGCTAGGAGATTTACCAAGTTTCATATGCTTAGCCATAACCAGATCCACAAACAGGGACTAAATCTACAGTTTCTTTTCTAGTCTGGCTCCCAGTGTTTTGTTTGCATATGCAAATGTGCACTTCTGTTAAAAAATAAATAAATAACAATAATGCTTGGGAAAGGCAGTAACATGAACTTGACTTCAGGCAGTCCTTGTTGTTTCCTTGGCAGCGGTATAGCAATGGTGGGCCTACCACCTTCTTCAAAGTACTAAGGAGGCCTGACCCTACTTAGCTACCTAACTCAGGACCTGCCAAGTGCTGAGTCATGAATGGGTGGGCAAACTAGAATTAGTCCCCCTCTCAAATAGTAATCAATGTGTGAGTAATCAATGTGAATTTTCCTTCTCTAAAACTGCTACATAATCTTTATGTATCCCGACTGCTACACACGCTTTTACTCGTATTTTCATCTTACTATTTCCTCAGACAATGGTAGCATTTTTGGAGTTAAGGCCATGGTTTCTGAGAATTTGAGCCTGACTATGCTGCCGCTGCTGCTGCTGCTATGGCTTGATTGAGGAACGGAGTGGCCCAAATTTCTGGAAGAAATCCTCCTCAGCACGGACCAGAGCTTCTTCATCAATGTAGATGGCTGCTCTTCTGGAGGCTACAAAGTACTGCACTTTTCTCAAATTCCATCCCAGCACATATTTTAACCAGCCACAAACTGCAGCGGTGGACCTACCAACACCTGCGTTGCAGTGCACATAGACAGTGTGCCCATTCTCCAGTAGCCCATGCAGGAGACAGACAGCCTGAGGCAGCATCTGGACTCTTCCTAGGATTAGAAACAAGATCACCGTCAAATGCATGCTCTCCCTCAATTCTCTCTTGGATCATCCAGTGCCTCCTCAGTTGGTCTGATGTTACTTGCAACACTTTCTATTTTCTACTAGGCAATAAATTTTTCTTTTTCTTTTTCTTTTTTTTTTTTGAGTAGCAGGGCATTTCAAGCCTCCGACTTCAAGCCATTTTATTTTCTATGAATCCTTCCTAAACCAAACAGAGAAGGATTGTGAGCAACCAGGCTATGCAATTGATCTGACTCCATTCCAGAAAACACAATGGAGCACAATTGGAGCACTGAAGTCTGGGAAACCCTTTATGGACTTTTTGCATAAAATTGTAGAAAAATGAACTTGTGGTTTTAATTATTAGACAGGATATATTATAGAAAGAAGAGAGTCACAATATAACTTGAGAGAGAGTGAGAGAGCTGATTTTGTGCCTAAAAAAGAACTAGAACTCACAGCCACCTGGTTTCAAGCCTTGTTGCCTTAGGACAGGGGTCTTCACACTTGACAGCTTTAAGACTTGGGGACTTCAAGTCTTAAAGAATTCTTCCTCCAGTCATGTTAGCTCAGGAATTCTGGAAGTTGATGTCCCCAAGTCTTAAACTTGCCAAATTTGAAGACCCTTGCCTTAGGACTACATCATTTATTTTTATTTAATTTATTTTATTTGTCAATTGTTTACAAGATAATAAGTATAAGTGTATACATAGTTATGAATACATGAAATGGGTACATATAAGAAAAATAAAAGAAAAATAAAAGAAACAATAGGACAGGGACGGTAGGCACGTTGGTGCGCTTATGCACGCCCCCCACAGACCTCTTAGGAAAGGGGTGAGGTCAATAGTAGACAGTCTAAGGTTAAAGTTTTTGGGGTTTGGGGAAGAAACTACAGAGTCGGGTAGAGTATTCCAGACATCATTTTAAAGCAGAACAAAATCCCTTTTTACAGGTTATCCTACTTTCTAGCTGAAAATATATTGTGAACCAAACAAAGCACAGTGAATGACTTCTGGGTGAAAGAGGCTAGAATGATGAGTGGTGGCTGGGTGAAGATACTCCTACATACAGTAACTTTCATCTTTAGAGGAGAGGCAAGATATAAATGTAATTAAATAAATGTATAAAACATACCTCTACAGATATATATTTTTGCATGCACATATTCTTGTTATTTCTTGCAAAATGGGCAATCTTTAGTGATGGATGACACATTGTAAAAAATCTGGAAGCAGCATATCATCTGTGCATTGCTACCTTTGTTGCAAAAGAATCAAATAAAAATACTAATGCTAAATAATTCCAACAAATCGCAAGTTTACTTTAACAAAAGTGATATGACCAGCCCACAATTTTCAAAAGATAATTCTGCTTGCAAATATATGCTGAGTAGATATATTTTAGATATACAAATTAAAAATTTTTGCTAATGTGTTAACACATTTATTCATTATCAAGATTCCGCACAGAGAATGCTTTCTTTCTGTTCAATTTTAAATTAAACACTCTGTGTGCTTAATGCAAATCCTGAAATGCTAAATTAACCATGATCAACTCCTACATTATCTTCCATCTAATAGAGGGAGGTGAGAAAATTGTGGAGTTTGTTTTAAACAATATATGTATGACTTATGATACTTGTGTTGAAATTCTTATTATTTTTTTAATTGTCTGATGTACATAAGAAATGCTTTTCTTCTATTTTTCCCATTTCAAAGGATACCGCATGCACTTTCTAACTTCATATCAAGTTCTGTGGCATAATTAACACTCACATCATTATTATAACGGCTGAATCCACAAAAGCGATTAAATATTTTTAGGCTTTATAGTCTTTTGCATTGTATAATACTATTGTCATACTACATAATGGTATGTGGGACTGACCTTGGGAGACAGGGAGAAGAGCTGCCGCCAGGGCAATACTTGGATAAGAGGCAGCTTAGCCTCCTGCAGGAATGTAAGCATGGCATAGAAGAAGAACTAGTTTTACTTTATTGTAAGGTTACATTAATAGAATCTTGCAAGTCTGACAGTACATTTCTCTTCCATTGCCTTTGCATGGAACCAAAAAGAGTCCCATGCCCACATTACTCCTGCAGGCTAAGCTGCCAATTTGTCCAACTATTGCCCTGGCTGCAAATCTTCCTCATCTCCCAAGATCAATCCCACATACCATTACGTTTGCCTGGAAGGTTGACATACAATTGTAAGAGAGGGACTAACATGTCACAAAAAAATAGCTAGCAGGAGCTTGTTTTGCCCTTCCTGTCACAAAGTCCCAACCCAATTGCTAGTTATCCTGACATTGCGGAAACAACAGGAAAGGACATTCTGGTTCTTCCTATCAGCCAAATAAATAAGAATCATGAACTTGTGAAGCCAAAAAATCGCCAAGGGAAGACTTGCCAGTATTAGATAGAAATACTAGCTAACAGCATTAGCAGTTTGTTTTGACCTTGCAAAAGCTCATCCTTCCCTTTGCTTGTGTATCTTGTCCTTTTCAATTTATAAGGTTGATGACAGGATTCATTTACCTATCCCTCCTGTCTGTATGAGAGACAGGGAAAGAGAACTGCTTTGGGACACAAGAACTAAGAAAAACAGAAAAAACTACACTAAATAATGAATTTATACTGTTTATACAGGATGTTCCATCATAGTAACTATGGTGTGGTGAGCTAACGAAAAAAGTATGGATAAGTGTAATACTTTAGAAAGGCTGAATTTAAGAGTATTTCAGTAATTAATCTATTCTACCTATTATCCATAATGCTAATTGGATGGTACTGTGAGGTGGGATTCAAAAAATTTAAGAACAGGTTCTCTGCCCGGTTGCTGGGTGGGCGTGGCCATGATGGGTGTGGCCTAGTTGGCCTCCTGTCCCACAGCGGGCAGGCTTTCCTTGAGCCTCTGGGAGGGTGAAAACAGCCTCCCCAGTCTCCAGAGGCTCTCTGGAGGCCGAAAACAGGCCCATTTCCGGCTTTCTGGAACTTCAGGGAGGCCTATTTTTTGCCCTCACTGAGCCTCCACACGGGCCCTGCACTTACCTGCGATCCAAAATGGCCCATGCAGGGACTCTTGGGATAGGCGGTGCAGGGAGGACGGGGCCAGCCATGGGTGGGATTTGTCAGTTTGCCAAACTGGCCATAAAATTAACAACTGGTTCACCTGAATCAGTGCAAACCGGTAGCAACCCACCCCTGCTATGAGGTTACCAAGGCAATGTCCTACCTCTCCAGTATTTTTTTTTTAAAAATCTGTATTTTAATAAGCTAAGAAGCATATTCAGCTGATAAATGTAGATATAGTGCTTAGTTTGTTTTATTAGCGACCTGCAGATTAGCCAATGATTCAATTTGATTTGTTGCTCTTTCCCTATTTTGTAAATTACTGAATTAGAGTAAGTTATTCTTCTATTTTTATGTCTTTCTCATCTTAAGCTTTTCACCAACAAATGTAGCCTTTTATTCACTTTATTTCCTGAACTTGCTTATAAATCATCATCTGGAAGTGCAGGTAGGAGAGATCATTTTGGATTTCAAAATCTGAAGTGGGCTTCCCAAAGAAAATTGATACAGGCCCTTTGCAGAAACCAAATTGTCACAGAATATTTATAGTCAAAAATTCAGGAATAAGAGCCTTGGAGAACATGAATTTATCTTACCTTTCAAGCATGGAGAACTTATAGAATCTAACTTAACATATACAGGGCATTTTCTTATGGCAAGCATGGAAAGGAAGGAAGAATGAGGTTGCTACAAAATCAGAAGTCTTTTATCTGATTTATAAACAAAAAATTCCATCTTAGCAACTATGGATTAAGCAGATGGGGTTCAGCAGAGAAAAATGAACCAATGTTGCGTAAGGCAACAGAAAATAATTCAATGTACACGAAGTACATATTTTTCTAATTCACATACATAGTTCCAAAACAAAGCAATTCTGTTCCAGGCATAATCCTAAGTAAAATGCAATATGTTTCCTCAACTACAACTCTTTTGTCCCTTGTGTTCTTTTGCATAGCCCATTTTTTAATAAAAGAATCAGTAATATAAATGTAAAAATTCAAGACCTCTGCCAGCAAGAGAAAGGAAATAGAGATACAGAATAAGGCAAGAGGACATAAATGAAATGGCAAGCCTAACTAGAGAGTATCCCTTGGCAAATGTCTAAAGTCTGATAATAAGAATGTGGAGAAGACTGAAGCATATTTAATGCTTATTTTTTTTCTGATTTTGCAAGAGGTGAGGTCTCATATTCAGATGATATTTTACTGAAAAACTACTGCTGCCACTAAAGGCCGTGTTTAAATCATACTACAATACAAGCAGGTTTTTTTTTTAAAAAAAAATGGAACTGTGCTCACATTTTAAATACTGAAGCCTCTTACAAAAGGTAAATACTCTATAAGAGCTGATTATGGTGAGGAGCAAGACGGAGTAAAGTTGACCTCTCTTCTTTGTTCAGTGATTAACATGAATACATTAACCCATAAGCAGGGGTGGGATTCTACCAGTTCGCACCTATTTGCTAGAACCGGTTGTTAACATTCTAAGCAGTTCGGAGAACCGGTTGTAAGAAGAAATTACTGGACTAATCCTGTAAGGAAGGAAGCATTCTGGTATTGCTTACAGGAACTGCCTCTTCATTAACCCTTATTTACATTCTTGGCAGGACTGGACTTCCTGTCTCAAGAACATCTCTGGAGTTTTTTTCCCCTCCTTTGCTGGTACTTTGCTTGTGTGGAGTGACCATTCAAAGTTACAATGGCACAGAAAAAAGTGACTTATGACCATTTTTCACACTTACGACTGTTGCAGCATCCCCACAGTCACCAGAGACCAGGCGAGGAGATGCGTGCCTCGATGTGAGTGATACTGAGTTGGCCATGCTCAGCCAATAACATGACCACATGCCCACCAACTAAGCCATGCCCACAGAACCAGTTGTTAAAAATTTTGAATCCCACCCCTGCCCATAAGGAAGAATGAAACAAGCAAACTGAGGTGAGGGATCACAATGACACTGATTTCCAACTCCTCAAGGAACATGGAATAGGACTATTCAATGTTTGGTGCTTTAAATAAAGATGTATTCTACTTTTGTCCCAGAGTATTTATGTCTCTTAAGGAAAGTTCAATGGCAACAATGACCTTGGGAGTATATGCTGGTGGAAGTGCATCCTCCTGATAGGATAAGGTGGGAATTAAACTTCTGTGTCACTGCACGTCAGGGAATGTATATGAGTCTGGCGTTCCGAGATTATTACCTAACTATTGCATTTATACCTCTGTGAATGTTAATGTTCTAGCTAAAACAACAAAACATAGAAAACTTCCCAAAAGTCAGATCAACCAATCAGCATGCAGGACATGCATCTCTACATAATGCATAGTTCAAATCTGGGAGGTGTGTATGTCAGTCCATCTACAACCATCTGTAATTTACACTTACCCATCAACCCAATTGCAGTGTAGGTATGCGTCAATGCCTACATCTGCAAGAGACTAACTCAAGCTTAATGCTTGCTGGAGTAACACCAACAGGGGGTAGTGGAACAAAGATTACTCAGCAATGAAGGAGATGGAAAGTGGGGCTGTACAGGTATAATGAAAGCCAATCAGTTTAGGATAAGAACTCCAAAATCTGCCCCCCCTCCCCCCAAAAAGAGAAGGTGATAGCAAAATGTTTTTATCTTGTTGTATTCCATTTGTATAAACATTTAGACAAGTTGGATGTCAGATGCTGAGATTCCTTCCCAGATTAGAAAACTTCCCTGTAGTGATTGAGGAAATATAAACTAGATTTGGAGGTGATAAAATGCCCAGAACAAAGCTACATGAAAATTTGGTCATTGATCAGTATTGAAAAAGAAGTGATTTTCCAAAGCAATAAATAAATAGAATATGGTATTTTAAATGCATGAATCAAGGAATCCTAGAAATATTAAAGCAAGGATGTTAGCATACTACATGCAGTATTTTAGGAATAAGTGAAGCCTAAGTGGACCAGAATGAGTTATTTTAAATCAGATGTTTTTGTGATATCCAGAGCAAGAGAATATGCAAAACAGTTGGAGTGGCCATAATTCTCCAAAAGTACAGTGCTAAGTATTTAGTTGCCTATAAACCAATAAAGAAAACCATATCTATTAGAATCAGTGACTATTTAATGAACATTAGTTTTAAATAAGTTCTAAGCTCCCAATATAGATGTAATGGCAGAGGACACAAATTATATGGAAAAATATAGGAAGTGATAAAAAAGATGACAGAAAGAATGTAATCCAGTAATGGGGTGATTGGATGGACAGAATTGGAGAAAAAGAGATACTTGGAATTAAGAGGAATTGAAGTGGAAAATGCATCAGAATAGGAAAAAAGGTTAATATAATTTTACAAAGAAATTTCTTTGTTCATTTTTGCCAAAACCTGCTTCAGCCAACATAAATACAAGCTTTATGAAGGGTCATTGCCAGATGGACAATGTCACAATAAGTTACTTAATGGAAACTGAAGATGGATAAATGCAAGCCAAATAGCTAAAACACTTCTAAGTGCAAAATGTATTTTGGTGTCCAAAATACAGGATAAGCTTTGCAAAGAAATAAAAGGATATAGGTATGCTGGCAGTCTGAATGCAATATTTATTTTCATATACTGGATTTGTATCTGTCTTTTATGCAGGATTCGAAGGCAATGGCTATGGCTATGGCAAGAAGTAAGAGAAATGACATGAAAAACAAAGTAGACAAAATATCCCCCAAAATTAAAAAAAAAAATCAAGTGACTTTCAGAACTACCTTTCACTATAACCAAGGAAAGACAGAAGACAAAGGCTTTGATCAGTAAGAAAAAATTTAAATGATTGATTACAGATTTTCAATATCAAACAAGAAGCAATTGGAAAAAAAGTCAAATACAGAAAAATTAACAAGAAAAGAAACATATTTTAAAGATTAGTGATTTTTTTACTACAGGTGAACACTTATAGAAAACCTGATATAGCCAGAAACTTCGAAAAGACATCTATATAGAATAAGTAAGATTCAGAAGAAATTGTGTATTAGTGATCCGCTGAATTTAATTCTCCAAGAATGAAAGTTTTATTTAAGATCTTAACAGAGGAATAGAGTTATATATGGAAACAGAGATGATGAATGAATAGGCAAATTTCAGAAAAAGCAGAGAGACATGAGATCACGTTGCTAATATAAGATGGAGACTTTATCAGAGTGAGCTAAATGAATGAGTTTCTATCTTTACTCAATAAAGCAAGTTTTTGACTATGCTGATCATACCAGAATTATGGATCTGAAAATAATTACTTAGAATGCCAAAGTTGCAAGAAGAATTATCCATCAATTGGTCTTTGAAGATGTAAAATGACTGCTCCCTTGAACCTGGTTATGAGCAAGCCATATATTTCTGCAATGTGATGCAAACATTATTATGTGTGTGGACAGGATCAGGATGACCTTTGCAAGTTTTATAGGAAGCATCTCTACTTTGCATAATTTTTGTCTCATCTTTCCCCCCATGCTAACCATCCCCATATCTATCTATCTATCTATCTATCTATCTATCTATCCATTTTTCGTATTTCTAGACCATCATCTCTTCCAAAGAGCTATGTGAAATAAATTTTCCAATTTTTTAAAATGGAAAAGCTACACACAATGAAAAAGCAGGAAATGTATAGCACCTAATGCTTTTCATGGTTACTCTTTCTCAACTTTAAAACCTCACTCCCAAGAAATAGGAACAATTCAAAGCCAAAATAAAAAGCTGACCAAGGAAAAGGTTCAGCCTCTCACCTGTGTTGTTCTAATGTACCTTCTAAATATTTTCAAATGTTTTCAAATGCACAGAGAACAATATTAATTCTAACTTTGTACAACATCTAGTCTGGCCCAAAGAGGAATTTAAATACTGTAGGAATGTGTGATGAACACATGTGCTACTTGCTCCTATAAAATTATTGATGAAAAATATAAACCTAGAATTCTATTTATATATAGTTTCAAATGGGTATCATTATTTCTAATGAAACAGTTTCATCAGAAACAGTGTTCTTCATAGTTCATTTAAGACAGAGGTCTCATTCTCACGGCCCGCGGGCCAATTGCGGCCCGCAGGATGTTATCCTGTGCCCCCCACTGTGATATGAAAGTATAACATTTGAGGATATTTTTTTAACAACGTTTTTTGTGGAATCCCTTATGCGGCTCAGCCTCACCCAGACTCTGCCTCCAGCGGCCCCCAGGTAAATTGAGTTTGAGACCCCTGATTTAAGACATGATCAGACATGGCTGTAAAAACATGGCTTTAATAAAGCTAATTGAAGACAAGGAGAAGGAACGTCTTTCAAAAGATAACGTTTTGTTAAAAAAATGCTCAGTCTAAAGGTCATACTCGCCTAATTAATTTAAAATCATAAACATTCAACAAACATAAAGGGAATATTTTCCCCCTTACCCTCCACTCTAAAGCTGGCAATACATAAGCTTTCTATACCTTAATATTTTCATTTCAGGAGTGCTCCAATTCTTTTTTCCCATTTGAGATATGAGCAATAGGTTTAATAGGATTAACATGACCAACAGAGACATTAAATGTTAAAATTCTTCAGGAAAGGTTTCCTGCTTGATAGTCAGATAAAGGCTGTACTTTTTCAGAAGACAAGTTGGACACCTCATTATCTTTTGGGGATCTATTTATGGATTTATTTGCAGATTTTTAATATTTTATTACTCTCAATTATCGGGATCATTAATTATTGGCTGGCGACTGTCAGTTAAATTTTGTTTTGTTACTTTTTAGTTTTAATTCAACAAGGTGAGGCACAACTATTCTGATATGTAATAGATAAATAAACATATTTCTTGATCCTGCTATCTGGAATATTACAAACATGAGAAGTGTTATTGGAATAATATTGATCTAGTTTAAAAGCTATTTTAGGAAAATACAGTAAAATTGATTAATCATGTAGCATTTTACAAAGGAGTAGTTATGACCCTATCAATTGGTTGCCTTACAAATACCCAGAATCTTATAGTGCTTCAGAGCATAATAAATTTATTGCAGCATGAAATTTTAAATACATAATTCATATGCACAAAAGTGGCCTTAATTAAATGATCTTAATTAATTGTGATTATATGATAGCTTTATGGATAATATCCCAGGGCAAAGAAAGTATATATGTTCAAAAAAAATCATTTTACTTTTGAGATCCATCCTGCTGCCAAGTTTACTTATATTTATATTTTTATGAGTTTGTAATCCCTTAATTCAGGGAAGAGTCAAGGCGACTGGATGGAGCTGAGCGTTTACTGGCTGGATGCCCTTCCTGACACCTATGAGGAGTTTACAGCAGATATTTTCTCTTTGTGTCTAAAAGAGAAACATCTGCCACTACCTAGGACTGAACTCTCAACCTTCCAAATGGGAGGTGAGCATCTTTACTACTAGGTCATCATGCTGCTCCACCACATTTATATATATAAATTAAATAACTATATGCTTTTAGTAGCACTGATAAAAATTAATTAAAGCCTATTGAGTAAACATGGTTTTCTTATCTTCACAAACAACACCATCATATTATTAATCTCTACCACAAAAACAAGCATTTTCTTTAAATATCGCTGAATATTTAGTATATTCTAAGAATACACAATGCATAATTAGCTATTACACTTAAAATGAACTCTTATGAGATTTGCTTGTTAAATCTTTAGGATTCTCCATGAGTAACATAATGCAAACATCCAAAATTAACATTAAATTTGTAAAGCTCTATTATTCAACTATATCATTGAATGGATGCTTTCTTAGAGATGGAATGTGAATATTACCTTCAGTACTCATGTCTGGTGTTGGCATCCAGACGTAAGCAAGGCCTTCTTCTTTGTACAACTTCATAAGAACTTCTGGGCTCATTGGTTCTGGATAGCGGTTGCATCCCCAGGAATTCTGAACCACATCCCATTCAGTCTGGAAATTCATTATTGCTGTAATGCCCAACTCATGTTTAAGTTTGACAGTCACATGTTCCACTTGACGAGGGCAACTTCCTAACCACAGATTTGGCAAAATCCTGTTCAAAGAGAAAAATATTGAACAAATGAATGTTAAAGACTTCAGTGATTAATCTAAATCAGTAACATGATTAATCGAGGGATACTCATTTTCTACAATTCATGTTTAATTACAAAGTTACCAAATATCACTAGGAACTTGATATTCAAGAAAGAAATGAAGGAAAGAATCATTTCTACAGACCACAAAGAAACCCCTCAAACCAAATTCAAGGCTTTCATGAAGGACAAAGAAAAATGTATTTCCTGATAACACTTTCTAGCACCCCAAGAAGTCCACTTCATAGTTTGGCCAGATAATTTCTCATACATTACAACAAGTAATACTTATTGGACACAAAATATAACACTGTACATTAAAAATCTGCTGTCAGATTTTGCACAGAGAAATCAAGTAATGGATCATTATTTGGCTACAAAAACATTTAGCTGAATAATCTTGTTATTGATACTTAGTTCAGTTATTTGGACTTCTAAATTAGACTACCAGTTTGGGTATTGTGAAACAGGTTATTAATCACTTGTATTGTATTATCATTCAGCAATTTACTCAAGACAATGTTCTTAATATCGACTTGAGAAATCCTCAGAGAGGAACATATTTGTTAAATTACCTCATTCTTGTGAGGACTGTCACTATATATTATGATAGCAAATTCTATCATTCTTTCATAGATACAAGGTTTGTCACATGTAATTGTATTTTAATGATGTTGGTTTAAGTCTTCCAGAAATGTGCTTCTCTGTAATGGTTTTGTTTTCCCATAATGATAACTAATGTACTAAACACTGGATGATGCAATTTTAACAAGAGGGCCATTTATATGATATATGAGTCTTGCATGTTTCTTATATTTCTTTCCAGAAATTCATCTTCCTGAATAAAGTAATTCTCTCTTTCATCTGTGTCTAAGCTAGTGAGTGTTTGACTAGATAGAGAAATTGATTAACATCAGAAAGTAGATTACCAAGAATGTATTTAAATGATTTTATTTGGCCTGAAACACAACAACGGTTGTCAACTTTCAAAGACTTAGAGACATGTTAGGAAGGGGATCAAGGTTAGAATAATTTATTTATTGTAAGAAGATGGACAAATCTATAGAATTAGAGATTGGATTGTACATCACTATCCTGTGACTTCTGAATATTTTTTTGAAAAAAAGGAATAGACCCAATTATTAAACTGACATGAAATTAATGAAGTACAATCATTTCACCATAACTATATAGATTGAATCAATCAAAACATTAATATATTTTAAGAACACAAATGAAAACTTATTTTAATTGTTACAGTATTTAATGAAACAATCAGTTCTTTTGATAAATTTGAAAAAAAACATTGGGATGATGATTTGGCCACTAAACTTAAATCTCACTGGAAATTCTTCTGGCAAAACAGAATCACTTTTAAATCTATGTCAGTAGCTATCAAGAAAAAATAATTATAAAAACAACTGATCAGTGCTATTATGCTCGATTAGGTTAGACTATATGAATTGCAACTCTTTTTGATAATTTTCCCAGAGATATAAATAAATTAGTACACATCTCATCTTTGGCTGGCAATGCTTTTTGTCAATCACCAACAAACTCTTATAGGGAATTTTCGGGATGACTCACTATATGCTTGTTAAAGCATATGAACCAAATGAGTACAGAAAACTAATTCAGCTTTTATAGCTTAGCCACTAACTTTGTTATTGAAGAATACTAAAAAAATAAACTACTTCATTTATTAAAATTTATTCTTTAAAAGTGCAGATAATCATCACAGTTGAAAAGTGAATAATTCAAGAAAAATAATGAACATTGTAAAGATTAGAATTTAATCTATACTTAATACCCAATTATTTGTTTGGTAAACAATTACTTCCAATATTTGCTTGGATAGGAATATTTACTATTTATGTTTAATTTGTTTCTATTTCTCTTCTCTTCCTCCCCCCACAAAAATGAATCCCCCTAAAAATATTACTCTTTCGGTTTGCCATGGATATATTTTGCTTTATTATTTATTATTGTTACATGCAACAGTGGTCAAAGACGATGGGGGAAAAAAGGGAGGATAACCAGGGTGGGATCCGACAGGGTTAACTACCAGTTCGGTGATTTACAAGGTTTGGTGATTTACGATGTGCTTCCCTGCACGCTGCAGGCATGCCTGTAAATCGTCATCAGCTTGTGGCCTGGACAGCTGAGCAGTGCTGCGTGCAGAGAAGCAGTGTTTGAAAAAGCACTTTTTTCTTGCTTTTTCAACTGCACCTGTGCCTTGCACAGCAGCTGAGGTTGAAAAAGCAGGAAATAAAGGTCAGATAAGAGCCCGGGCAGGCGGGTGGGCCAAAACATCAGCAGATATAGAACCGGTTCTATGTCTGCTGCTCTTCAGAGCTACCGGTCTGTGGTCCTTATTTTTAAAACCCACATTAAAAGTTAGTAAATATTGCAGAGATGGAAGGGAAACTATAAATGAATCACACTTTTTTAAAAAAAAATCTTACCCTGTTCCTTGAACGGTGATATTTAGAAGGTTATCCTGTGAGTTCAATGACTCTCTAAAATTACTAGAACTTGGAGATGGGAGGAGCTTGCGCCGTGGCGATACGGTCTGCAATCGAGCTCCTCGATTGCAGCCGATATCTCCGCCACTGGCCGGTCCAACGGACCTACGCTGTCCCGTAGGGACAGCCATCGTGAAGAGCATATCCTGAGGATTCCGGGGATACCGCAAAATCCCTGGAGAGCCCGGGTGAAGCTCTTCTTGCCAGCGGCGGAGAGGCAGCCCCCATGCTGCTGAGGCCGGGGCGACTCCAGACGGAAAGAGTTTGAGAAAGAGTTTGTCGGTTGGGTGAGAACTTCTTTTTTTTATTTAATTTTTTGAATTTGGAAAGTTTACTCTAATTATCTGAAGAAACCTGTGTGATTTTTGTTTTGTTTTTTGACAAAATTGATTTAGCGGCGTTTTTTTAGGGAAACGTCAAAGAGAGAATCCATTTTTTTTCTTTTCTTTGCTTTCGGACTCTATTGTTACTTATTGGATAACTGGACTGTTTTCTTTTTTCTATATATTCATATGTTTTATTCTTTTTCTGGACTTTTTATTTTTATTTTTTCTGGGCTAGAGGCTTCTCTTGATTTTGTTTGATTTTTCGGTGTTTGTTTTGTGTATTGCAAGCCGGCTTTCCCTTAAGAGAGGAGGGGGGAAAGTGAGAACTATGATACTTTGTAACACTGCCACCTAGAGGCTCGGAAATATTTAAAAAAAAGAAAAATAGACTCTTCTTCTCAAGGACATCCCCTGATAAGATAGAGGAAAGTACTTTGTGGAATATTATTACAGGTGTCTTTCTGGATATACATGGCTCAGCTTTGAAGCTTGTGGGAAAGAGAAGGGAGTTATAATTAGAGCCTTGGATAATTAAATAGAGTGCAGTGTTGTTGTTTTTTTTTGAGTTCTGCCAACCCCTTCACTAACATCAAGGTCCTGACTTTTAAGCTTGATTTATTTGCAAAGGGAAGCCTCTGAATTTCTTTTTTCTACTTATATTTTATTTTGATTTAACTGATTTTATTTTTTCTTTTGTCTATTTGGATCCTGTTTTCTCTTTTTTCCTTTTTTTTTTTAATGTACATTAGCGGACTATTTCTTTTTCCTTTTTTTAATTGAGGTTTTTTCTTTTTTCTTTTTTTTTCTGGCTGGACTAAGGTGTGGAATCTGAAGAAACTTATTTTTCTTGGTTTTTGTTTTGTTTTTTGTTTTTTCTCTTTTTCTTTTTCCCTTCTTCCTTTTTGGCTTTGTCTTGTTTATTATTATTATTGGGTTTTTATTTTTACTGTTACTTTTTTTTTTTTATGGTTTTTTTTTTTTTCTCATTCTTTTTTTATTGAACTAAGGTCAGGAAGAATTTGAAGAATTTTCTTTTTCTTTTTTTCTTTTTCTCTCTCACTTTTGGCTTTTTTATTGTTGGCCTTCTTACCTTGGATTAAAATTTCATATTTCTTTCTCTTTTTTTTGTGGACTAAAATTTGAAAAAACTTGAAGAGTTGGAACCACTTAAAATGAGTAAGAAATTTATATCTTCGGGTGCCTCTATGTCTGCTTCTGCCTCCCCACCATCTGGACAGCGTTCAATTCAGACATTGTTAAAGCAAGATAAGGAGAAAGAAAAAGAACAAGAAAGAGTATCCTTCCAGATGATTATGCAAGGAATTCAAGATCTTAAGGTAAAAATGGATACTATTGAACAAAGAACAGGTAGGATGGAACAGATGATGGAAAAATATGAAGAGAGACTCCAAAATGTTGAAGAGGGAGGCAAACAAAGAGAGGAGAAAATTGGAAATATCGACAATAGATTAATAGCGATTGAACAAGAAAAAAGTGAGATGTTGAAGTGGGAGTTGGATAGATCAGAATTTTATCTTAGATTCCAAAATATAGAAGAAGAAAAAGGACAAGATTTGGTTGCGATAATGGTAGGAATCTTGGCGGAGGCACTCGAGATAACAGAAGAGAAGATGATGGATGGAATTGATGAGATATATCGAGTTTTTACAAGATATGCGATGAGAAATAACCTACCCAGAGAAGTTCATATTAGATTTATTAAAAAATCTTTGAAGACACAAATATTGCAAGTAGCAAGAGAGAAGCCACTGAAATACAAAAGTAAAGAAATTTTGGTTTTAAAACAAATACCTAGAAGAGTGAGAGAGATGAGAAGAGAATACCGATTCCTGACTAAAAGGTTATTGGAAAAAGAGGTGTCTTACAGGTGGTTGATTCTAGAAGGATTGATGTTTACGTGGCAGGAACAGAGACATAGAATTGATTCAATTGAGAAAGCAGAACTGTTTTGCGCAGAGGTTTTTGGAGGCAGAGAAGGAGGAGCAGGAAAGGAGGTCCCATCAATTGAATCTCAAGAGGAACAAATGGAGGTTGGAAAAGAAGAAGGTGCAGTAGGTGGACAAGTGGATATTAAAGATCAACGTGAGGCAAGACCCACGAGAGTGGTTAAATCTAAATATAAAACATAATTATGGAAGAAAAAAAATTGATTACAATGAATATAAATGGACTGAACTTAGCTGCTAAGAGAAGGAAGATTTTCCATAAATTAATGAAATTAAGGTTCGACATAATTTGTTTACAAGAAGTTCATATTAAAAAGCAACATGAACAATTGTTATTACAACCAAAATTAGGGAAATTGTATACCTCTTTGACACAATCCAAGAAAAGAGGGGTGGTTTTATATATTAAAGAGGCCATTCCAGCAAAAATGATTTATACAGATGATGATGGGAGAATATTAATGGTAGAAATAATGGACAATAATAGAAAGATACTTTTGATTGCAATTTATGCACCGAATGATAAACAGGAAGAATTCTATAGAAAATTACATACTAAGACTGCCGAACTTGACTATGCTAATGTAATTATGATGGGAGACTTTAATGGAATTGTGGATAATAGACTTGACTATATTGCAACAACAGTAAAGCATAACAGGAAAATTCTTCCTAAATCCTTTTTTAAAATGATAGATGAATTAACTTTAAAAGACATATGGAGAGAAAGAAATGATAAATCTAAGCAATTTACGTTCTATT